AAAGCTTGCGTCGTGAAAACACACAAAGTGAACACTAGTAGTAGTAGTAGCAGCATGTTCCAATCGAAGATATCTAGACGACGAATGTCGACCACTGTCTTATATACCCTTCCTGCACTCGCATAAAATCCACAGCTGCACAAAGCGGTGAATGGTACATATTCCACCGGTCGCATTATGGGAGGCGATTCAGGTACTAAGGTTCAAGAGGGTTGGACTTTTTGAAAATTGGCACACAGATTATATGGCGTAGATGTGCATGCGTAGTTTACAGAGTGCCGTTCTCGGAATCAGGCGGCCAACTAACCTTTAGACCTCACCCAGGGAACAAATAGAACACCTTTTTAGGACCATGGCTTTCCAAAGGTCACAGGTGAGCTTATGATACAGCCATACTTTAAAACGGTCAGACAATTTGCTGGTCACATTCTCGATGACGTTGCCCATCCACTTCACTCTGAATTTAGGGCTGCGAAGTCTTTCCGTACTATGCGCCGAAACTCCCAACATATGTCTTGTCGTACACCGGCATATAGGCACTCTGTACTCCCATTGCTAGCACGCTACCCCACATATTAAGAAGCGGAAATCCAGAATTTGAGACTAGAACTGTCTCCGTAATATGTAGGAATTTCATGCAAACCTCTAGATTTTTGGGTGTTTTATTAAATTATCCCTTGGTCTCAGTGAATGGAGCCATTTATTGCTGAAAATGATCTATTTTCACTTTCAAAATGAAGCCTTTTCTCTCCCTGCCTCTCGCATATCTGGCAGGAAAACGAAGATTTGCATTACGAACACAGTTCGGCATAATAAAAGGTATTGGCATAAATTCCCAGGCAGGGTTGTCTTTAGAGGTTCTTTTTTATCTTTGACTCATGACAATAACTTACTCTTTCATTTTAAGTAACCCAACTTTCCTTTTTTTCGTTAAATTTGGCCAATATAAAATCAGATTTACCTCTTTTGTTAAATTCCGCTAATATAAGGTTGCATTTCCTGCAATTGGCACCAGTATCCTGAACAACTGGAGTTGATGTTGATGGATTTGATTCTATTGAGTACATTGAAACAAATATTAGTTTAAAGAAGAGGATGTTCTTTGAGATATAACGTAACCTTAATTGGTAAATTTCCGAGTCTGGTACCGCAGCTCGTCTTCGGACTAACAGGAAATGTTCAATGAACAACCAACATTTCAAACGTGAGGAAAATTAATAGTTATACGGGGTGAGACCTGATTGGTAGGTGTGGCCTCAATCAGTCTGTATCGTGCCGCCTTCGTTACGCATATCCTGTTAGTCCGCAGACGAGCTGAGGCACCAGACTCGAAAATTCCCTAATTAAGGTTACGTTATATCCCAAAGAACATCTTCTTCAAATTAGAATTTCTTGGGATGTGTGTTTTCTAATTTATACGAAAGAAATAGAAGTTTGTTTAATTTAATATTTCGATCACTTCCCACACAATTAACTATTGATTTACACTCACTTACCAAGAATTAAATGTTCGACTACAAATTACGTTAGACAGTTGGGCTGGGGGGGATAGATATCTAGGCGGCCCTATAAGACAGTTTTACCAAATCCCAACTTTCGCAGATTACGGTCGTTATTTAAATATGTTCAGGCACACTTAAATCAGCAAATTCCACGAAGCGTATGAATGGTTTAAACGAAGACAACTGTAAAAAGGTGGCGCCAGATAGTGTGACCGTTGCTACAAAGATGTCCACCGTGTGCACCACAGTAATGTGCGTGCAGAGAGGTAACACGCGTGTACATTATTTTACATTGATAGCAGATCTACTTTCGCAGTATCTGCCGTACGCTCCCTTCTCCCAAAAAAACTCGCACTGATGGCAAAACAGTGTCCAGAAGGCAGAATTTCGCCTGGAACGCAGTGTTTGAAACAAAAATTAACAAGCCGTCTACGCGTGCCCTACACAAGCTGTTCTACGCAAAGTGGACCATTTCTTCACAGAGAATGAGGCGACCACTCAGACTCCACCTCATTGGGAGTGTCATGAGGATGCTTTACCGTAGGAACCATTGCAGTCTGACCCTGCACCCTGAGAGGAAGAGGAGGAGGACCAAATTACTCCGGCAGTTGGAAGGCTTCCAGACTACGATTTTCAGCGTACCACGATAGGTTAAAAGCACCCCAGACTGTGTATAGCGAGAAATGCTATTGATAAGCTTGTACAGACACGGCAGATAAAGAATAATCAGACTGTATATGCATTTCCTGAACCCAGTCTCTAAGGGACGTCACATAGTAGTGGCCTTATAAAGCTCATGTCATTAGCTTCGAAATCCGAGCTACACGTGTCCCAGTATCGGTGAGGCAAAGTACAGTAGTCGCCGGTTATTAAGCCCACGGTTAATAGGCCCAGCCGC